TGGTACTAAGAGGTTGTTCGGTAACCCAGCCGATTATTAACAAAGAACACTTGCGACGCTAACGATCACCATCTGCTGTCTATCGGAAACTCACTTGCAAGATCCTGCTTACGTGCTTATCTAGTGATACCCACATGCGACAATGGTGGTACTTCATTATTGCGCTTGTTTAGAGATGACGCATGTTCGACTACTAGCCAAGCCGGTATGGGCATTGCTCTGATTTCCCTGGCGGGAGGTGCTCTGCTTGACTGGATCCCAATCAAAAACCGAACGTGCGACGTCAGAATGTTTGCCTTGTTCAAAGCTTCGAAGCGGCGTGGTTGCAAACCGTGCCTCTTTGTCATTGCGGCCTACGCCCCAACAAACTGTGGCGCTGACACGGTGGAAGGTCAACACTATCACCGGGTGAACGAGCTGATACTTTATGGAAAATGTATGGATACTGTAGTGTTTACTGGTGATCTGAACGTCCAAACTGGAACTGTTCACTGATAGGTTGCATTTAAGTGGCCAACACGGTGTAAGATGCCGTATTGATAATGATGAGCGGTTGCAACGCTTGTGCAAAGATGCGGGGCTATTTCTCCTAAAATCTAGCTTTCGACACAGCATCCGCGGGGGTCGTAGAGCACTGGTTTCTATGGGTATAAAAGCAAATGCTTGGCAATTTCCGTAGTATGGTGAGCGTTACATGAAGCTCACCCGCCTAAAACCAGCCATGGACACAAACCGATCCCATTGAGATCAGTTAGTGTTGAAGCGGCTGTGTCCAAAAAGGTCGCTCAACTCGTAGCACGAGCATGGATTCCAACCACGTACTTGTATGTGTTTACCTGACGGTGCGTTTCCACGGACGTCCGCAAATGCGAAATGAGCTCATACCAACGGACGAAGCCAAATGTTCTGGATGCCTAACAAATTATAGTGGCATCCGAGCTGTGTAAGCGCTCAGTGAACACAGTAGAGGATAATTGGTAGCATATCCGCCGTAAGCTATTAGCAGCAGCCATGTCTCCATGTGTCAAGTCAAATTGTCAACATGGACGTTGTGCCTCTACAAAATCACTAGAAATTCTGGATGCTCACCGATGCGTTTCGTCTGACAGCAAACACAACGAGACTCCCAAAGATCTCAGGACGAAACTAGGTGCTATTATGAAGAGATCGCAGAGTCTGGTGATCTTACTGTGCCTCGGAGAAGGAAACAGCCAATACCCTCGGTAAGCACCGTAGGTTAATTCCGTCCGTACGGGAAATGGGCAGCAGGAATCGGATGTCAGCAAGACCATACGCAACAAGAGGGAATAGCTGATGCACAGCTTGTCAAAACGGTTGGAGCATTGGGTTGATCAATTTGAACGGTAGTTTAATCACCCAGGATTACTATCTTGACTAGCTGCCAATGATTATCCTTCTAATTTTGCCGTTCTCTCAGAGCTGCCCTCAAGCGCAGAATTCAGACGTGAGATCAGACCATTAAAAATAAGTAAGACCGCAGTAGTAGATAGACCTCCTACAATTCTCCTACCGTTCTTTACAAATTCGGAGACCAGTTCTCGTAACTGGTTTGCATAATTTACTAATGAACCTGTGTGAAAAGTAGACTATCCCAACAGACTGGAGCCGCTCCTTTTTGGTCTCAATGTTCAACCAATGCTGAAATCATAGAGGAATCAGCCTGATCTCAGTTGCCTTCAAGTTACTTGCCTCCGTCATCCTCCATAGACCGATTTGCACCAGCGAAAGCCAGATTGGTGCGTAGCAAGCCGGATTTCGTCGAAGTCGCGGTTATATTGATCACCAGTGCACAATACGTCAATTGCTGGAACCAAGTCGTGTTTATTGACGACCCACCGTAATCGTGTTCCTTGACACCCAACATGCCATCGATTCGGTGAATAGATGTACCTTTGAGACTGTGTGCTTAGAAAGTATGTGTCCAACAAAAATGTACGTTATAAGAGCGTCGTACGCGCACAGGTCCAGCAGGTTTATGGTTTATGGTAAACTGTCGCAACCCTTCAATATTTCCAGCGGTGTAAAACAAGGTCACTACTGTCACCTTTCTTGTATAGTATGGCCATCGGCGAATCTATAGTAATGGTATTCATCGGACACAACTTGATTTGCAATTAAGCGATGATATTGTCTTCATCTGTGATGACTCACAAACGTGCCAAGCAGCGTTAGACAATTTATCGCAGCCTGGCAGCGGATTCGGGATATGGTTTGTACCGTCGAAATGCAAAGTCTTTCTCCAACATTGGCAGGGACTCAATTCTACGCTGATTAGTAGCGGTGATCAGCTAAAAGTCATCGAGAAATTCAAGCATCTAGGCAGCGCCAACGAAACTGAAGGTTAGATCACCAACCGCATTGCAACAGATCAAGAGGCTCTTGTCGATCTCTACCACCTGTGGCGCTGGCGCGAAATCATACTTGCCCTGAAGTGCAGAGTTTACAACGAAGCCGTCCGCTCAACCCAATTATACCGTTGTAAAACCTGGCCCATCAAGGCGACAGACATAAAGAAGCTAGTTATCTTCGATCATCACAGTTTTCGCAGCTTAGCTCATGTCTGGCGGGAGCACCGCATGAGCAATGAAGGTGTTCGGTGTTGTGTATTTGGTGCAGTAATAGCGATTGAACCGCTCAGCACTGTTATTTCACGCACCAGGCCCCGATAGCTGGGCCAAGTGTTGCGCATGCCAACCCACCGACGTCCGCGACATGCGTTGTTTGCTCGCCGGGGATGTGGATGGAAGAGGAAGGGAGACCAAGCCATGCGTTGGTCAAGAGGAATGAAATCCCTTACTACGAAGTTGGTGTCGATTAGCGTGCCCCGACTGGCTTGCTTGAGTTCGAAGGACGATGAACACGTCTGGATGGATACACTTGTCGACATGGCGAAAGGGCCGACCTCAGTGAGTTTTGTGGGGTGAGTTTCTTCGTCCATCGCCTTCCCACTTAGCTTTCCCTCCAGCGAGGATCCCAAACTCCATGGATAATATGATACTTGACATTATACTACTTGCTTTTGAATTTCAGTTTCAGTATTGGGTTATGTTTAGTATATTGTTTTACCATCCATCCGGTCTTTTGGTATTGCTGGGCAATGGCTGAAGTGTGTCCATTACCTTCAGCCAACATGTTATGCCGATGATTAGGTTGACTGTATATATTGTATTTAACACTTGCCCAATAAACATTTGGCAGAGTGCCACAACACATGAGTAACAATAACACAAAAGAGTGAGTAAGAGGACTGGAAGCAAAGTTCCATGTGTTGTGTGGGCATTGAGCTTCCCGGTTGCCCAGGCCGAGGAATTGGTTGACTTAAGGGACTCCACCCCGAGCCTTTGGTCTAAAGACCTGACCCACAAGGCAGTGGGGTGATTCACGAAGACCGTTGACAGCAAAGTGGCTCATTCGCCTTCTTTATGTTCGGAGGCAGTCCACAGAGAAGCCGGTGGCCAGCGAGGTTGTTCATCCACCCTCCGTTAAGTACTCACCCCCCAGTTACAGGAGTGTGGTCAGTGACCCTATAACCGGTCACATTGGCTTTGATAAAGCGCCGTACAAGCCCCTGTGGTATTTAATGGAGAACCAGGTGACCAGCCCAGAACTCCCCACGCTCTGAGACGCTGCCGCTGATTGTCCGCGACTGCGTATTCATCTCGTCTTGAAAGCAAACGTGATTTATTCGCAGTTACCTCCACAAGGAAGGCATTCCCCGATCCGCAAACTGGGGACGCGCCCGATAGCGTACAGCTCCGCAACGGGTCGATTACTTAGTTTCAGTCTTTAACAGTGTAGTGGAACAATTTCGCTTTGCAGATCTTTTGCATAATTTGAATAGTTTTATATGTCTATTCAAAGCTACCGCTCTCGCATTTTTACTCTTTTATTTATGCGTCACTGGTAGGTCCCACAGAGCTTTCTCCTTTTTCAACTCCTAAGAAACTCATTTGATGACGAAATTTTCTCCGGATAAGTTCATTTTTCGGTTTCTATTTGCCGTGTCGTTCACTTTTCCCAGTAGAATATGTGATCCCTTTGGGAAAGTAATTGGTTGAGCGGGATTGTGCGGAAAAGATCAGCATATTATTCAACAACCGCGAGGCAGCGCCGTTAACTTCGAACAAACTCTTCAGGGTACCACTGTTCTTTGATATATAGTTTGCAAAGCGCAAAGTTCTGAAGCCGGACCTACAACCCCTTACTGACAACTCAAGTCTTGATGGCAGCTTTCTGGATGCCTTGGATAATCTGCGACAACCATGGTATGAGGGGATAACTTAACTTGTGCACTTGTAGGTGGCATTAGTGATCTGTTTGTTGTCGTACCATAATTCTACGGTCTGTTTAATTTGCCTGTTTCGGAGGCAACCGATTGGCACATTTGCGTAGGATACGGATCAGTGAAAGCTCTTAGAAGCCGTCTGGAAAGTGTTGCATTATCCCCAAATCATAGTCAGGTGTTCGGGGTTGTACGGGTTGCACAAACTGTGGCTGTTATGGCTATGCATGTCTGCCTAATGAATTTGAATTATGCATTCGGCCTGTCCCAATTCCATTCTTGGCGCTTACTCGTGGAGTTGCTGCCGTTAGGTTGTAGTAGCGAAACGATACTGATAACGGAATGCTTAAAACGTACATTTGAATGGGTGATTGATCGTGCACGTGACATCGGCCATGATGAACTCGAACAAAAGCAATGCGGTGCCAGAAGTTACCTATCTGTCGAATCCTTGGCACGTCGATGTATGCGGTAACAAGTCAAAGCTGATACTCATCTTCTGTAGCTAGTGTACAACCAGGGCTTCTCATTAACAGTGACACCGCGTAGCATGCGAAATTACATTAAAGACGGTTGCAGTGTGTCCTTCAGTAGTGTTCACTGTAGTAAACTCGGAGCACTAAACAAATCAAGCAAGAGGTTACTGTATTGCCCTGGGGAAGTGTTCGAGGAGTGGCCTTTTCCGTTCCTGCGTAAAATGGACGGTGCGAAAATGGACTCCACGAATGCCATATGGACAATTCCTGTGAAATCAGCTTGTACGGAACAGATCTTCGGTTTGCTGGTGGAGCTCTTGGGCTGCCCAAATGAAGGATGGGCGAAGAGTGCATACTATGGACTATTGGATTTGCTCCAACATGGTACAGAGAAGCAGATTTTACACGGTATCAAAGGTGGCATTCATGCCTTTCGCAAATTGTTCTCCTCCAATCCACATTGTTCATACACATGGGACGGCTTTGTTGCGGGTCTGGATCTATTTGATCGTCTGTTAAGTTATAGCACAACCGTCGGAAAAGTCTGTGTTGATTCACTGCACCTGTTGCTCGTACCGGTGGCGTGTTTGTACAAACAACGTCGAGACAGTGGTGGGGTAATTTCATCAAAAAACAGTTCGCAGTTGGTTAACAATTCACCCGACAAGCTTCGGAATGCTGACGAGAAAAAGAGTCATGCTGTTGCTTACTCGAGGCACATGACTTCGCACATTCACAGTTCCCATAGAACTAGTAGGTTGTTAAAAATGCCGTTTGAGCCTACATTCTATGACTGGCTAAGACGCGTGGAAGCGACCGTGGTTTTAATCTTTGGACAATGGTCAGTTGAGCATTGTGATACCTTAAAACAAGTCAAACGACGATTTCCCACATACGACAGCTGCCAACAAGCACCTACATGCACTAAATTTGGAGGAAAACGAAAGTCACAAAACAATACATTCGGCAGGCAACAGCGATCTGTTAAGGAGCCATCGTGCAGTTCAGCAAGGATGAAAAAGCCTATGAAAAGACAGTGCGGTTCGTATTGTATTTCCAAAGATAGTAGAGATAAACACGGACCTATACTATGTTTCACTGGTCCTCCAGAGGAACGATCGGGTATGGCGCCAAACGTCGTCTTTGCGGATAATTTCAATGAAACTGACGCACAGGCAACAGGCATGCCCATGATGAAAGGTGCACGGCAGACAGGTTGTACGAATCATTTAGTGGAAAACGGGAACTCTGATAAAGAAGAGATAATGTGGCTGAGACAGCGAGCAGTTAGCATCGTTGGTCACGTATTGCGTCGCTTGGATGCTTCACAGATAATGACTGAAGAGCAACGGCGCTTGTGTCGCATGCATCTGGTGTCCAGCACGATGAAGGATGTTTCTAGTACAGCTGAATTGTCAACAACTGCTAATCGATGGAGTCCGGAATTTGAGGATGCGTGTGATGTCATACCCATGTCCGAATTAGCCGTAAGCCAAGGATGTTCGATAAACCCCTCTGCAAAAGCACATATACAAAGGAGGAGTTCTGAGGATAAAGCCATTATAGAAGAACTGGAGTGGGACTGCTCTAACCGTGCCATGGAAATTACAGATGAACGTTCAGGGGAGGTAGGCAGCAGTGACGAAGCGGACATTTCTTGCACGGTAGAATCCTCGTCGCTTATTACCGAATTCTCTGGAGGAATATGCTCTCATTTGGTTGAGAACCTAACGGAAAATACTGAGAGGCCACTTGTTTTGCCTAGTGAATTCAGTGGCGGAGTCCCCGAAGTTCAAACCTGCCAGTATGCTGTGATCGGGAGCGCGGAATGCTTCGAAGCAAACAGTGATGTTTCACAGATGCTGACTCAATATACTCCCACATTAGAATGGAAAATTTTGAGGAAACAACCATACGAGCTTCAGTTAACAACAGAACATACGCAGCACACTCATGCCGGGAGACAAGTATCAACATTTGCAAAGGATGCAATTAAAACAAAACCAATGTTTGGTATGGTGTGGAAATCAAGCAATGAAAAGAGCTCAATAAGCAGTGGTTTTCAAGTGTCCACAAAAATGGAGACAGGACAACAATCGAAACCAACAGACGCTGGAAGTGAATATGTTGCGCGCTCCTCAAGATCTGAGATAGAAGATGGCGTCACTGATGATTCGAAGCAGGATGGATTGCTAGGGAAGACGTCCAATGGGGAAAACTGCACACACGACACATTCAAGGCAAATTCTGAAACGAGTGCCAAGAAGGCACAGGGATTATGTTGGAAAGATCCTGTGGATTGCAATTCACGAAAACAAGTTAAGGTGAAACCTAGGGAAAGAACCGCACTTCATAGTACGGAGAAAGCAATTGCGAGAGAACTAGCTGGAAGGGTCTTGAAACAGGCCATTATGGCAGTGAATAACACCCCAGTAGACAACCCTTTGATTGCGTTTGATGAGACGTTTACCATGGACGAAGACCGTGATGACCTTGGATTGTTTTCTGGGCTGTCAGAGAGATCGTCGCAAAATAGTTGCTTTCCTGTGCGAAATATTATACTTACCCAAAAGACAGAAAATTTCGACACCACGATAGGTACACCTTTGGAATCAGCACTGAAATCCGTTCCTTCAGATATAGCATCAAGTTGCAGTGGGGCGTTGCGGGTTAACTCAGAGACGGAATACGTCCACACTGAGGTTGACATGAACTCATCAAAGTTTTATGCCGAACAAGATTGGTCTGAGGAAGTTAAAACGCCTCGAGTTAGATCCAAGCATTCAGCAAACGCTGTAGAAGCATTCCAGGTAAACGAACCCCTTGGGCGTCAGCAAGCAACAGAGAATATTCAAGAGGGTGCAAAGTCCTCACAAAATGCATTATTGCCGTTTGGTTTGGGCCCCGTACCACCTCATGAGGAGCTCAATCTCCTCAGCGTAGATGGGCCCAATGACAAGCCAGAAAATTCGATTGGTGCCGGAACTCAGACTTATCCTGTAATGCAAAAGACTAACGTCACACTGGGAGGTTTGCATCCAAACATCATTGATCCTCAAGTTAAAGCAGGGGGGTTATCTTGCTCATTTAATGGAACGCGAGATCAACACATGATTGATAAACCAAGAATGTCAATACACACATCTGTGGACTCCAGTGTCAACCCACTACAATTTATACGCCTCTACGTTAATCTCAAGGCGCGTGCCTCGTGGGACGAAAGCACTTCTCCTTGTCCAGTAGTAATAGACACCCAGATGACGACCTCTTCCCCACCCCAACTCGATATTGGAAATTCTACTGGGTCCTCACTGGAAAGATTGGCAAGTACTGTTTGTACGGAATGAATAGACCCAACTAGTCTATGCAGTGCAGAAGCAGTGTAGTTCCGTGCAGCTTTTTCCAAAAGCAATGTCTAGGCAAGTATATTGCAGGTTGAGAAATTCTGTCTGGACTCCTCTATTGGATGCGTCTCGCTCTAACGCAGCACTGGTTGCCTATACAGTAGTAATTGTATAGGCTGGCATGAGCTGGTAAGTTACCAAGGAGTAAACACCAGCGGATTTTATCTCGCCTCCTTCTAACAAACTGTGTGATCCACTCTATGAGGCGTTGTACAAAAATTTCAAAACCTACGAATTATCCACTGGAATATCACACATGACAAAGGGGCTATGTGGTTGTTGAACGTCAATGCTGTAGGTTACAGTCGCGCGAGGGGAGGAGATAAAATGTCTGGCAGTCTAATTATACAGATTAAAAGAATAAATCAAGCAAATACGTTTAGGGCACTTGAATTTTCCTATACTTTCGAACCAATCGGTTTCACTGAAGGTATCGTACTAAGCTTTTGCTTCACTGACCAGCCTGGATTAGTAACTATGACGGTAACGAAATGCTCATCCCCTTCTGGACTCCGAACGAATGACGACCCGAGAGGTGTGACTCAAAACGCAGTACATTAGAAGCAGATTTTTCTTCAGTAATACAGACTAAGCAAAAATGTCAGCATCGTTAACCTGTATAATGCTCTGGTACATATAGTTAAGCCCATACCATTTACCAGTGCGTCCTTCCAGTCATAAGATACTTCACTTGGTTCAGTTAAACAAACTCACTGCAAGGCATCCAAACGTCGAACAATCAGTGGAGTCGCTTGGAAAACTGTGTAAAGCTAATGCGTTCAATCTCCGACTCAGTTCGGTTCATATACATCTGGTTGTTTCCTTCGTGCTGCGGATTATTCCGATCACCCCGACTGCATACAGCCACCTCAGCTACTTTTGTGCTTATCCGCCAGCTTGATATACACGCTTAAATTGAGTAACGAGTTGGTGGTTCGGTGTTGCTCCTCCCAACCCTGAGACCCCATGACCGGTTTCGTCCTCCTTTGGACTCATCAGATGGAGATACCCTGAGCTGGGGTGGACCTCGAGGCATAGTGTTCAAAGGTTGACGACCTGACCACCATGGCTCCTAGGTCAGCGAGCAACGTTTGACACAGCGGTAAAGTGTTCCAAGTGGCATTTGATGTACTCGCTGTGTGGTTGGATTGCGACTCGCAATCTCTATTCGAGTAACGAGTTACGTTACTTCATGTTCAACATGTTTCGGGTAATTTGTGTTTTAGTATTCGGTCGGTGGATCATCTGGCGTCTATCTGCGTCAACGGTAGGTAGACGTTGAGAAGTATGTGGCGAACTGGGTGCGCTTTCGATATCAACACGGATGCGAGGTCTGCTGGGAAGGCACCTGTAAGGACAGCGCACTTCAGTTCTGGTGAATGAGAGTGCTATACTGCTAGCTTCCAAAACTTCGTAGTTATAGGACAAAGGTTATGAAAGCTGAAGTATTGTTCTATTTAAGTAGGCTTCCTATAGGCGGACTGAGCGAGCGTGTCATCACAACTTGAAGCTCTATCACTGGGGTTCAATTTTACAGTCCCACCAAAGAAATATGACATAACAGGAATCGATTCCAGTTCGTAAACTTGTGTGACCAACTGTCCAGCATGAACCCAACCACCGACGATGTATGAGGTTGATTTAAGGCTAACGCGATGGATTTAGTTAACCAATTCTGTGTTGCGGAAACTTAAGGATGCAGAATTCTAACAAAGGATCACTAGGAACCGCTGATGAACCTGCATCAAAATAGAAACTTTGCAGTACTGAGATCTAACAAGGGAGCAGAGGTAGTCAATATGAGAAAGCAAGACTATATGCACAAAATGTAATCAATTCTTGCAGGCACTAGCCGATTTATTCGTGAGTCGACCGGTGGTTACAGAATCGAGGAAGTTGAAAATCCCATAGTTCGTAAACTGAAAAAGCCGTAGAAAGATGAATTGATTGACGTGGAAACGACGACAGCTTAGCCCACAAGGAGCGCGAATTTCTCATGCGTACGGTTTACCATTGACTGTCGATCGGTGGCCAAGTGGTCTGCGTGTCTGGTCTGCAACCTTAAGGTCACCGGTGGGTGGGCGTCCTCGCGGTATACTCAGCCCACGCGCGACTGATGGTGGTCGCGTGGCAGCGAAGCGCCGTTACAGCGTACAGCTGGCGATTAATTTAATTATTAATTAACATAGACTCACATAAAGGACATTTCCCTGAATTCAATCGTCCCAACTATAAATGCGGCGTATCAAGAACTGGCTAATCCAACCGATCTGACGTGAGCTCAGTGGACACACCATCAAAGGTACATTCAAATTTGTCGACAAAATACGAAGCTTAAACGGAAAAGAGAAACACCTAGTTTCCTTTGCTGACAGTTAATAAACGGTCCACTGGGATAGAGTTTAGGCATCATTAGCTTTCACGCTGACTAAGTGAGATTTCCTGCGTACCACCTTAAGTCACAACTGTGAGACATTCGGTTTCAATCCAACGGAACAACCTATGGTCAGATTTATGGTGTCGCCATGAGCAGCCCACATGGACAAGCCTTGGCTGATATTTTAATGGGCCACTTGGAGAATACTGCCCTACGTGACAACATACAAAATGTGCATTCGTATTGTAGATATCTTGACTTGTTATTTGTAGGTGATACCGTTCTGCAGGTAGCGCACCTACGCGATGTTCTAAACACATGCCAACCTGCAATCGAATTCAAGATGGAAAGTGAAATAGGTAACATATTACATACTTTGGATGTAAAGACAGAGAGGAATTCAGACGTTACGTTCACTTGATCCATGTGTCGGTAGCTTATTTGAACAGGATAATGCCTCAACTTTAACAGTTTTTGTTGCATAAATTACAAGCAACCAATGGTTTGCACCGCCTTCGTGAGAGCTCGCAAAATTGTTATAAAGAAACTTCGTATTTTCGAGAATTATGCATATTTTTCCATTCATGAAAAGTGTGAACAGGAAGGTATAAAACGGAAATTCGCAGCAGATTAAGATGAATACTAAGTGTTAGGGATTGCTGAGAGGCTTTCGTCAGGAGACTTTGTGCGGAACGTCCTTCGACAATCTTTGCTTGGAGCCGCTCCGACCAATGCATGCAAACGGTGGATTCAGAAACTCTCCTTATTGTACTTGCAGTAGCAGAACTGAGAGCTGCCGAATAGGAATTCGGAGCCGATTGCACGTACAATGGGCGTGGGGCTGGCTTGCCGAACAACGTCCTCGTGGTGCCAGCTGGGTGGTTCAGATTTTTCCCCTTCCAGCAATTGGTTCGGCGGCAGTGTTCCAGGACGTGATAGGTTTTCGCCTGGCAAGCGTTCTCCATATAAAAAGCCGCAAATGTCTGTTTAACAACACTGCAACGTGGCGGATGTTACTCGCCACTAAATAAAGTCACTGCTCCTTGCCCCTCCCTGAGAGGCATTGCACTTCAAGGGTGCGTTGGGCCCCTGGTCCTTCACGGACCGAAAGGCGTATGAACCATCCATTTGGTCACCGGCTCCCAACGGGTTGCGACGCCCTCACATCGCCCTGCTACCTTGTAGATTAGATCTTTGATCAAAGGCTCGGAGTAGGGTCGGATAGCTTTTCGACTACAAGTGGCGTTCGACAGGGTTGCCCGATTTCCCCGTTTTTGTTCAATTTCATCGTGGATTCTATCATGGAGTGTTCCCTTGCGGAATCTCCCGATGTAGGCGTTGAAGTGCTGCCTGGTGAACGGTTAGTTGATCTAGATTATGCGGACGATATCGTCTTGCTTTTCGACAATGTTGAGGCGGCCCAATCAACCCTGAATAGCCTATCCAGAGTGGTCCCATTATTTGGTATGCACTTCGCACCTTCAAACTGCAAAGTGTTGCTGCAGGACCACCAGCCACTCAATGACCTCTTGACGCTTGCTAACGAGGAACTCGAGGGGGTTGATCAATTCACTTATCTTGGCAGCTGCATCAGCAATGATGGGCGCATAGAAACTGACGTGAGCTCACGCACTGCAAAAGCCAGAGCTGCCTTCTTGAACCTGCGTCATCTTTGGCGACAGAAGGGAGTTTCCCTCCGTCTGAAAGGCCGTGTATACAAGACCACAGTGAGGGCCGTTCTGCTGTATGGTAGTGAGACTCGGCCGCTTCGGTCTGAAGATCTGAGGCGCCTTCAAGTCTTTGATCGTCGTTGTATGCGAAGCATTGCTGGTGTCGGATGGCACCAGCGTGTCCGCAACGATGATGTGCGTAGGCGAGTACTAGGTGGTGATGATCATGCTAGCTCCCTAGAACAACAGATAGCACTGAATAAGGTGCGTTGGCTTGGGCACGTGCTACGCATGCCGGGTCACCGCTTACCTAGGAGGGCCTTGTTTAGTTTGCCAGGTGTAGGATGGCGCAAGGCTCGAGGTGGACAGAAGTTGACTTGGCAGCGGAAATGAAGTCATTGACGACCAAACCGGGTGCCGTTGGTCCGTCTCGCCTTCCGGGTTGGAGTCCATGTGACTCGCCTTGTGCTTGGCTCGAGACTTTACAGGACATGGCTCGCAACCGACACCAGTGGCGCGTCTGCTGCCGTCTTCTTATTGGATTGTCTATTTAAAGTGTGTTTGGTGCTGAGTTATCTGCGGGGTAATGGCTGATTATGACGCGGGGCAGTGAAAGCCGCAAGGAAGCTGTCTCGCCGATGCCGCCTTATCTTTGCACGATAGCCAGCTGTTTGTGACGGAATGTTGTCTACACAAGGTGTAGGCGCCTTGACCGTGAATGTTTGCTTAGGGCATTAAGGTTTTCAGGTAAGTCCCCCTTCTCTCCCTCTTCTTATTCTTTATTTCATAGGTCCTAATGGTTGTATGGCAGCGAAGCATCAGTTCAAATGGCTGATGTACTGCTGTTGTTGATGATGATGATGAGTAGGGCTCCCTAAGACAACCCTCTACTTCGA